TCCTAGAAAAAAACCTTACGGGGTGCATTCAGCTCCCTAACTCCCCCCTTCCCTGATTTCTATGTCCGAGGATAAAAAACGTTTCTATGATCGGCATGATTCATTGTAATGAGTCGATAATCGCAGACGTTTAAGTGGTTTACTTTAAATTATCTCTCCAGGTATGATGATAGTCATGAATGTTGCTGCTCTTTTCCTTGCACTGGCTACAACCGTCTGTGCCTACCCTGGCGTACCGAGCAAGATAGGTGAACTGATTGACAAATGGGCTCCGTTGGTAAAGCTTGCACAGAATGAGCCTTGGAAACCATCAAGTGTTGACTACTTCTTGTCTCATTGTAAGCTGGAAGGGTGCACTAGCGGGCTGACAAGCTCGACCCTCGAGAGGTGCAACAGCAACAGTTTCATCGTTACCAAAGATGAAATTAGTTGCCCTTCCTGCACCGAGCCTGCTGTTCTTCGTGGTCAAGACCCAAGCAGCCCAAATAATGCCGTGCCAACATACGTCATTTATCGAGAGCATAACAATTTCTTGGAAATCGCCTACAGGATGTTCTTCCCGTACAACCGCGGGAAGCGGGTCTGCGTTGGACTTTATAGTGGATGCCCGCCATGCTCGAAGATTTGGGGCTGGTGTCCTTGTCCATCAGGTTGCATTGGAGGATATTCAACATTTGGGCACCACGTTGGAGACTGGGAGAAAGTTTATGTTCGTTTCCGAAAAGTCAACACTGACTACCAGATCTACTCCATTTACCTGGCGATGCATGGCAGCGCAGTTACAAAACAGTTTGGAGGCGAGTTTCTCTGGCAAGGCGGTCAGTTCAAGAAGGGGAGTAAAACGCTAGGCATGTATGGTGGTACTCACGCAATAGTCTACTGCGCCGCGGGCTCACATGGGATGTGGCCGGATACTGGACGACACGTTTACATGACGCTTCCAAACCAAGACACCCTTATAGATGAGGCCAGCAGCGGTATCAGTTGGTACACATGGAAAAATTTGAAGCCTGTCCAGTACGATTCTACTGGTCAATACAGCGGGGAATTTAAGTTCCTGGGGTTTCGAGGCCGGTGGGGAAACAAGAAAGAGGGATGCGGTATCTTAAATTGGGACATCTTAGAAGATCTCGTTGGTGAGTGCAGGCTTAATCCCGGCCCAACAGGTCCTTCTGGCTGGCCTGATGTTTAAATAGTAGCTCTAATGGTGGTTGCCATGGTTACCGGTATTAAAGTTAATGACATGATGAAGTGTACCTTAGGATCGTTCGGGAGTAAGAAAAGTTGCACTCAATTATTAAGAAATAATGTTTAACCACAAGTGTCATAGCACCTAAGAGTCTATTCCAAATAAATGTACTGAAAAATTGAAGTTGACTTTTTGGCATTATTGTAGTCTCGGGGGTAGGGAGGGTGATAAAGTGGAACTCCGCCTTATGATCAGTTCGTTTATACGACCACCTCGTTATAATGACCAAATTCTTTCGACCCAAACGTAAAAAACACAGAGACAGTCCTGCCAGCTTGTGTTTGGTTGTCTTCAGGATAACGTCTGTACCCCTTTTAAAGGATATTTTACGAAAATTGAAGACAACATTAACACTAGAAATAATGGGTGTTCACTCAAACTTCCCAAAGCCAAATTAGAATTTGAACGGAGAAGTTTTGCCTTTCAAGGGGATCTAGTTTACAATACCTTACCTCGGCATTTAAGAAATTTAAATTCTAGGTTTCTTTTTAAGAGTAATTTAAAAGAGTTTTTTCAATAGCATTCCATACTCACAACTCTTTTCAGTCTTATAAGTCAACAATTTTTACAGATTTTGATTTTTGAATCTTAGATTTCTTAATGTTATTTTATTTTCCTCTTTCGATTTTCTTCTTTATTTTTTAGCTATTTATGAGATGATTACAGGACCCTTTTGATAACAGTTCTTTTTATTAGAACTGATAGGTTATCCTGTATAAATATTCGCGTTATTATTATTATTATTATTATTATTATTATTATTATTATTATTATAATTATCATCATCATTATTATTAGTCATTTTAGTATTTTGAAGAGCCGGTTGATGCGACCACCTAGCTATTACGACCAGGATTTTATGGCCCAATAGTGGTCGCATTAATGTTCCTGTCCTCAGTGATTCAGGTGAAAAGAAAGATGACCCTTATTCGAATTGAGACGTAACTGCAAATCCAATTGTGTTCCTAACTATAGGGTGTCTCTTTCTTGATATAATGTCCTTCTTTTTGGAATCGTCTTCGTATAAACCATGGAGGCAAAGGAGAGAGACTATTCCTACCCTAAAGCCATCTAAACCAACCCTAGGCTTTTCAGTTGTACCGGTAATACTGACTTCGAAGCTACTATAAGCCATGACGTTACTGAAAATGATATGAAGGGAGTAAATGTCTTAGTCTTCACGCGGTGGAGACAAGAGAGAGAGCCCAGAAACTTGCCTGAGTCTGCCTCGTACCCAGACGCCTCTCTCTAACTCAATGAAAAATGACGCGCAAAGGAAGGCGGGAAGGAGCCTAAAAACAAGCGCGTCTTCTCTTCCTCCTTCCCATGGTTCCTTGCGCCTGGTCAACAGTCACTCGCGTTTCGCGCTGTCCCACGAAGTGCCTGAGGAGGAGTGTTGCCCGAGTGTTGATCATTTCGTTCAGATGGACTCTTCTCCCTTTTTAGCTTTTGCAAGAAAACCAAGGAGAATCTTCGGGTCAATCACAAGTCAATTGGAGAATTTGTTTTTTCAGCCACCCCTTTACTTAACGCCTCTTCACATGAGCCCGGTTTCAGAGATCTCGCCGTGCCTCTAAATCCTTTGTGAAATTGTCGATGTGTTAGTATGAGAGGGCGGGCTTGCTCGGTCCCCGAGATCTCGGTTTTTCCAACCGGGATCGCGGTAAGCGGGCTGAAAATTTTCCGATATGAACATTTCAGCCCGGTTACCTTGATGAATTATGACGACCTGGATTGCATCGTCTTGCATTGCCTGCTGTATTTTCCACATCATAAGCATCCCATTCAACTGCAGTGATACAATTTTAAGAGTTACTAAAGCTATAGTAGGCACGAAAGTTATATGTTTGGTGTTTCGCCTTGTTGCTTTCTTTCGCGAATTTCGTACCAGAACTCGTCCCCAGGATCTTTGCCCTTTTTTCATCTTGGAAAGCGGGCTTAAATTTCTCATATGAACCCAAGGCGAAATAAATTGGTCCCCACAAGGATCCAAGGCTCTTTGCAATAATATGAATCAAGTTTTGCTGTATACATAAATGGACACGGCATTAATTGCAATTATAGGTAAGTATGATTGTCATTTTAGTGATTAAACTACTAGAAAAATTAAACATTTATTGCCAAAAATTATAAAAGGTATTCAGTACAAGTTTTCAGAGAAACAGCAATGACTATACACTGTAATCTAAAAACCTTTTTTTTTTTATAAAAAGAAATATTTAATCACAGAAAGTCTCCTCTGTTTGAGTTTTCTATGGTAAAAAGCCACAAAATCAGACAAAATTTTCAGAACGCATTGCTAAGAATGTGGGCAGTGGCCATCAAACAACAGAAACATTTTTTCTAGCATCAATTCTGGTCGCTTGTGTTTTCTACTAGTAAATGAACAATTACTAGTACATTTTTAAATAAGGCTCAATAAAGAGCATTTGCCCATAAATAATCACTTAATGATTCAAAGAGAAGTTCTAAGTAAAACAGTGTTCTGTAAGGCTGTAACAGTGCTATAAAACTTCGGCCCAGCATCAGCACTTCACATAATATTCAACAAGTGTTGTGCAAACGTAAACTGTTTGGTTCTTGGATACTCTAACTGCCAAATACGAATGTCTTTCTCCTGGGTTTACTATCAAGTCGCCCGAAAGTTGTCAACTCATACTAATAGTAAAGTCACTCAAAATCTTATCAAGCCCAATAACATCCTAACACTGTATTATACATCTGTCGCAGTTGTTTCACCTCATCTTAGCTTATAGCAAGGAGCCTGAAAATGTGACCACTTTTGATTTATTCACATTCTTTGGTCGGATTGATCCAATCAGAAGCCAGCTGGAAACTGTCCTCGACTTCTAATTGGTTAATATCTGCATGGAAGAATGTCAGTAAATTAAAGGAGGTCGCTACTTACTGTAAACACAAAACGTATTCTGCATTTATACTGTGCTCTTTTTTTATCGCATTGTAGCTTAAAAAACAAGATATATTACATATTTATCATGCTTGTTCTGTCGCACCTTGGCTTAAACATTACAAATACTATTAATTATTCAACTCTATTCCTGTGTATGAAACCTGATAAAATTCCACACAACATAACTTTAGGTGAAATGACTTTCAGGTAGTGGTGTGCTGATCATCAAGTCTAATAAATTGATCATTGAACAAAAACTTTAAGTAAGGCGATAATCAGATATGTAGCATGTTTCATCAGTTATTGCAAAAAACGATTTTTTTTGTAGGCAAATGAACATATCAAACACTTGCGTATGGTCTTTAAATCATCTCATAATTAGAGAAGAAAGAGAATTTAATCACCTGGAAGCACAGAACACACACTTTTTGAGATCAGTAGTCAAAAACACTCAGAACGTTTGCATCGCATGTACCCTGACTTAAACAAAGAAATAAAAAAAGAAATAAAACTCGTTCAAAGAGATTTTTTCCAATGATCAATTTATTTCTGATGATCGATCACTTCTTTCAGTTGATTTGGCAGGTTGCCCTCTCTTGCCTATAAACTTAACGTTTGGTTGAACAAGTGTTGAAGAAAGTTTTTCAACAGGCCTTTCCACTATCAAGCCTTACATAAAAATTCTTATTAATTTTATAATGGCTTAAAAAAGAAGCAAGCAAACTGACCAAACCGAACAGCTGTAACATTCTGCCTGCTCTTTGACCTATAGCCTTTAAAACTGAAAGTCACACCAAGACTTTGCATGGTGTTAACCCCATCAAGCCCAATGCAAGTGCCTGGTCCACGCCTTAAACTTCTAACAACATAGTCTGCATTCTTCCTCAAAAAAACTGGATCAAAGATGACATCGTAAACATCAACTTCTTCTTCTCTGCACGGCAATGGGACAGAAGAAAAAGACTCATCTTTTAAAGCAACCAAATTTGTATGATTTTCCACATCCATGATTTTTAAAGAAATCAGATAGTCCCTGTTATGTAGACAACCAAGAAATCGAATCCCATGAAGCATAATATCCTTGTCTACCTGCAGAACAATGGCATCAAGAGATGGGGGATCTCTTTCATCAAACCACGGGTCTTCTGGATCACAATAGCAGGGCCAAAACCATGTAAATCTGCAGCATGACCAGCTGAAACCTACTCGCCTATCTTCAGGAAAACCTGCAGATTTTGATAACGTGCCATTGAAATTCTTCATCAATTCTTTTACTTCTGTCTCAGTAAGGATATTTGAGTCAATCACAGTGCTTGTAAAATCTTTCTCCTCCATTACTGGGAAATGAATGTTTTTTACAATTTGCTCTCCAAGAATTCTTCGCTTAACTTTACCACTTGCCAGAACTCCTTGCCTTTCACATTCTTCTGTGGCCCACAAATCAACAGCTCTGAAGAGCTCTACCTCTGAGATTGTCAATGTGGCTCTCTTGACTATGGCTTCGAGCAAAGACCTGTCAATTGTCGCGAATTCTTCCAACTTTACAACTTCTTCAGTTTGGCTTTCAATCATTTCCCAGCAGCGATCCACAAGATTCTTCTCGTCATACTTTTGAGCGTGAGACAAAACACAGAGTACGTTGGCAAGATCTAAATTCCTCATTAAGAATACGACGCATTTTTCGGCAAGCGAGGGCAGGATATACTTCTTGGCCACATATAACACTTGCAACACATTGCTTTCGTTCAACTCCACCTCGTTGCTGTACATGTATCGCAACATTTCCAACATTCCCTCGTATTCACAGTCGGGTAGATCAATAGTGTCCGACTTCTCGGCCATTTCTCCACAGAACATGGCGTAAAAAACAGGACTGTAGATGGACAACATAAACTTGTGCGCTGGAATCACCATCTTGGATCTTTTTGCATTGTTTTCGCCGCATGGCGATCGTATGACGAAGCTGACATCGCTTAGCAGATCGTTATTGAATAAGAAAGTTATCTTCTCTCTTACGTGTGATTTTTCATCACCCAGCTGCCCAAAAACAGCCATTGAAACAGGAAAAGGTACGCCAAAAAGAAAGATTGACTAGAGGATTGGGACAGTCACGAAATGGCGGAAATCGGCGGGAAGGTGAGATATTTACGAATAAACGGTACCGTGTTTCAGCGGCTTTCCAGCTTCTAAGGATCTTTTTATATACGTTACATCAAAAAGCTACTTGGGCAGTACCCCACAGTCCTCGGAGGGAAGGCGAGAGAACCTAAGTCTAAACGGGCGGAAAAAAAAAAATTTCGCGCCGATTTTTTTTCCGCTCGTTTAGATTCCCCCTAAAGAAGATTTCTGTCTGGTCAGTGTCACGGCATTTTTTTGTAAATTCATTTATTCAAAGCCCTAAGCGATACCTGAATGGGCAAATAATGATAGTGACTTTCTGGCCCCAACACCCTAACTGAGACCAAAATCTGCAATTTACACCCCTACGCGAGACGTTGAGCATCCCCGTCACTTTCATGTGGGATTCCCCGCCCAAGCTTGTTGAACACTTCTCGTGTATTGAAAGGATCGTGTTTGGCTGAGTCTTATTTAGGGGTGTTTAAAGTTATTGTGCAGTGTCTCCACACCCGACCCCCCACCCCCCCCCCCGCTCCAACGGAAAGCAACAGAAGTTCTGAGGGGAAGGGGGTCCAAGAGAAGGCATTTTCGAGGGTGTGGAGGGTGGCTTCTAGAGGTCTTTTTTCCGGGGGCTCCGAGTTAGATTGGAAGGTTTATCTTCTGGCGTTATATTTAACTTTGGCATAGCATATTAGTAATAACAATATTGTTCAATTATTGATCCAACAATTTCGACAACATAAAAAAATGCCTGAATGGAAAAGTAAACAATTTTATTATACAAAAACCAATAAAACACCAGGTCACCTTTAGCTCAAAAACATTATATTGTTACAAACAAAAAGATCACTGTGTAGGGTTGTATCTAGGGGAAGGGTACCGGGGTGTGCATCCCCGCTGAGATGATCTGCGGCTTTCTAATACAACTGGTATTCTGCAAAATACGGAGATATGTATGATATGTATTCTCAGCAATTGACATTATGTTTTTGCCTAGTCAAAACCCTTCTTCGTATTTGCTTTTAAAATTTGTTTGCGTCATCAAGTTACGACATATAGATATATCGAGCAACAACAATTTGCTGTCTGTCCCCTTTGAATTTGAGATACATATTAATGTTTGGCCGAGAAAAACTGCTTGAAGGATCGGTTTTGAGGTAATGTCCTCGGGCGTTTTAATTACTGCTCGGCTACTGTTTTGTCCTCTCCATGCTAAGATAACTATCATAAATGAAAGAATGAATCAGTCAATCAACCAATAAGTGAATAAATTAGTACTGTATGATAACTGAGTGGCAGCACATTCACAAAAGTCATGCCGAGTTCCTCGTCTTCCATATTTCTGATTGGGTACTCATACACCTCGAAGCTACTCAGTATTGTTGGTTTTCACATGACGTCACTAAAATAAAATTCAAACTGCAAACTATCGATCCTACTGGAATTTTACAATCATGATGTATTAGAGCAGCTGAAAACTTATTTTCATACGAATTTTTGCTTCAAAAGGGTTCTTGGTTTTCTGATAGAGTGCGCTTGAATTTCTAAGCTTTTGCGTGACGGCCGAGAGAGCTTTCATGTAGGTTAAAAAAGTGACGTATTTCGGGGAATTTTTCTATCTTTTTGCTTTATTGGTTTCCGTCCACAATGTCGGTGCCCATCCAGGTGGGCACCAGCATGGCGTCTCCATACAAATCTCTATAAATTTGGCTAAAAAATTTCTTCGTATATCTCGTAAACAGAATATTCTTCTGGACTGAACTTGGCAAGGGTCTTTGTATATTTACCTCCTTTCATTTCCCAGATTCCGTACTTTATCTATTGAACGGTTTTGATTTTGATTTTGATCTATTTTGAATGGCGTGACTCTGAAAACAGGCAATACGCCACGACAACTTCTACTACATTCAAATATATGGTTGGTTGGATAAACTAGAACAGAGCTGAGCGACAGTTCACAAAGAATCTGTCAGAACGGAGGCCAGAAAAAACCTGCCGGAAAAAACTGTAGTAAGGAAAAAAACTCGGCAGGAAATCTGGGTAGGATCCATGGCTCATGCTCTGAAAAGCTCATCCTACGAAGGCTACACGACTGGAAGGTTACCGCCCACTATTACTAAGCACGTATTCCAACAAAGCGTGGTAAATTCAAAATAATTTCTCGAAAACAAACGAATAAAACACCCGTAACAATTACGGGTATACGAACGTGCACTCCTAACGTAAGTGAGTTGCATTACTGTACCTTAAGTGGTCCACTTAGGGAATTCATCTAAGTGGTTGCACTTACGATTTTCGTAAATGTTCAATTAAGTGTCGTTTATGCAACAGAAATTGCGGGTGTTGCATAAAACTTTTTTTACGGGAAAAATAGCATGTAAATTTACGGGACCTATGTAGGTCCCGTATCCTTACTGTTTTTACTAAAATTATCAATAGTGTCCGACTTCTCGGCCATTTCTCCACAGAACATGGCGTAAAAAACAGGACTGTAGATGGACAACATAAACTTGTGCGCTGGAATCACCATCTTGGATCTTTTTGCATTGTTTTCGCCGCATGACGATCGTATGACGAAGCTGACATCGCTTAGCAGATCGTTATTGAATAAGAAAGTTATCTTCTCTCTTACGTGTGATTTTTCATCACCCAGCTGCCCAAAAACAGCCATTGAAACACGAAAAGGTACGCCAAAAAGAAAGATTGACTAAAGGATTGGGACAGTCACGAAATGGCGGAAATCGGCGGGAAGGTGAGATATTTACGAATAAACGGTACCGTGTTTCAGCGGCTTTCCAGCTTCTAAGGAGACCTTTATATACGTTACATCAAAAAGGTACTTGGGCGGTACCCCACAGTCCTTGGAGTGAAGGCGAGAGAACCTAAGTCTAAACGGGCGGAAAAAATAATATTTCGCGCCATTTTTTTTCCGCCCGTCTAGATTCCTCCTAAAGGAGATTTCTGTCTGGTCAGTCACGGCATTTTTTGTAAATTTCTCTATTCAAAGCCCTAAGCGATACCTGAAATATAGTGACTTTCTGGCCCAAACACCCTAAGTGAGACCAAAATCTGCAATTTACACCCCTGCGCGAGACGATGAGCATCCCCGTCACTTTTATGTGGGATTCCCCGAGCGAGCTTGTTGAACACCCCTTGTGTATGGAAAGGATCGTGTTTGGCTGAGTCTTATTTAGGGGTGTTTAAAGTTATTGTGCAGTCTCGCCATACCCCACCCCCACCCCAACGAAAAGCAACGGAAATTCTGAGGGGAGGGGGGTCCAAGAGAAGGCATTTTCGAGGGTGTGGGGGGGTGGCTTCTCGAGGTCTTTTTTCCGGGGGCTCCGAGTTAGATTGGAAGGTTTATCTTCTGGCGTTATATTTAACTTTGGCTTAGCATATTAGTAATAACAATATTGTTCAATTATTGATCCAACAATTTCGACAACATAAAAAAATGCCTGAATGGAAAAGTAAACAATTTTATTATACAAAAACCATTAAAACACCAGGTNATATTGTTCAATTATTGATCCAACAATTTCGACAACATAAAAAAATGCCTGAATGGAAAAGTAAACAATTTTATTATACAAAAACCAATAAAACACCAGGTCACCTTTAGCTCAAAAACATTATATTGTTACAAACAAAAAGATCACTGTGTAGGGTTGTATCTAGGGGAAGGGTACCGGGGTGTGCATCCCCGCTGAGATGATCTGCGGCTTTCTAATACAACTGGTATTCTGCAAAATACGGAGATATGTATGATATGTATTCTCAGCAATTCACATTATGTTTTTGCCTAGTCAAAACCCTTCTTCGTATTTGCTTTTAAAATTTGTTTGCGTCACAAGTTACCACAAATAGATATATCGAGCAACAACAATTTGCTGTCTGTCCCCTTTGAATTGGAGATACATATTAATGTTTGGCCGAGAAAAACTGCTTGAAGGATCGGTTTTGAGGTAATGTCCTCGGGCGTTTTAATTACTGCTCGGCTACTGTTTTGTCCTCTCCATGCTAAGATAACTATCATAAATGAAAGAATGAATCAGTCAATCAACCAATAAGTGAATAAATTAGTACTGTATGATAACTGAGTGGCAGCACATTCACAAAAGTCATGCCGAGTTCCTCGTCTTCCATATTTCTGATTCGGTACTCATACACCTCGAAGATACTCAGCATTGTTGGTTTTCATATGACGTCACTAAAATAAAATTCAAACTACAAACTATCGATCCTACTGGAATTTTACTATCATGATGTATTAGAGCAGCTGAAAACTTATTTTCATACGAATTTTTGCTTCAAAAGGGTTCTTGGTTTTCTGATAGAGTGCGCTTGAATTTCTAAGCTTTTGCGTGACGGCCGAGAGAGCTTTCATGTAGGTTAAAAAAGTGACGTATTTCGGGGAATTTTTCTATCTTTTTGCTTTATTGGTTTCCGTCCACAATGTCGGTGCCCATCCAGGTGGGCACCAGCATGGCGTCTCCATACAAATCTCTATAAATTTGGCTAAAAAATTTCTTCGTATATCTCGTAAACAGAATATTCTTCTGGACTGAACTTTGGCAAGGGTCTTTGTATATTTACCTCCTTTCATTTCCCAGATTCCGTACTTTTTTGTATTAAACGGTTTTGATTTTGATTTTGATCTATTTTGAATGGCGTGACTCTGAAAACACGCCACGCCACGACAACTTCTTCTACATTCAAATATATGGTTGGTTGGATAAACTAGAACAGAGCTGAGCGACAGTTCACAAAGAATACTGTCAGAACGGAGGCCAGAAAAAACCTGCCGGAAAAAACTGTAGTAAGGAAAAAAACTTGGCAGGAAATCTGGGTAGGATCCATGGCTCATGCTCTGAAAAGCTCATCCTACGAATGCTACACGACTGGAAGGTTACCGCCCACTATTACTAAGCACGTATTCCAACAAAGCGTGGTAAATTCAAAATAATTACTCGAAAACAAACGAATAAAACACCCGTAACAATTACGGATATACGTACGTGCACTCCTAACGTAAGTGAGTTGCATTACTGTACCTTAAGTGGTACACTTAGGGAATTCATCTAAGTGGCTGCACTTACGATTTTCGTAAATGTTCAATTAAGTGTCGTTTATGCAACAGAAATTGCGGGTGTTGCATAAAACTTTTTTTACGGGAAAAATAGCATGTAAATTTACGGGACCTATGTAGGTCCCGTATCCTTACTGTTTTTACTAAAATTAAAAAGATCTATTTCACAAATTGACAAGTGAAAAAAAAAGGCCTTTTCTTTACGTAATTTGTTCTTATGCACTTTATTAACCTCCGATGTACACTTTAAAGACTTCTTTGAGAAAAAAGAAGAACAATCATGTTCAGTAGATATTGAAGTAAGTCAACGATTGCATGCCAATTTTATTTCAACGAGAGACTTAAAAAAGTGTTCGAAACGACTAGACATTTTCTTAACATTCACCAATGGTTAGCTTAAAAAAAATAGAATGAGTCCTTCTAATAAAGTACTATATCAAAGTTACTTGTGCCCTTAAGTGAGCCCGTTAGTCACTACGTAAAACAGGAACTTACGAGAGTGCTAAGTGCGTTCCATGCAACACATGTAAGTGTACTCATAACAGATTCGTAAGTGACCTATTTAAGTGAGCACTTAAAGGGGCTGTGTCACGGTAGTCCAGGGCATTTTGTTTAATTTTGCCAATTACTCGCCCGCAATCGGTATGGAATTTAAAGTAAGCAAGGAAATTACATGGAAATGAAAAAATCAGAGATTCGAGACAAACAAATATGTCTCCTGAGCATTACTTTTGAAGTTGCAAACAGCAGAGATCAACTTTGAAAAACTGTTAGGCTGAACAGTTTTCAAAAACCCTAATTTCAATCCGTTTCAATCTTCTTCAGTTTTGCCCATCCGTAGCATCTGTTGTATCTGTTGTGTTATTTTAACCTTCCTTTAATGTTTTAAGTAGTTATTTTTACGTTTCTCTCAATTTAACGAGCATTTTGTAATTACCTAATTTGGCTGAATTTCGTGACACAGCCCCTTTAAGTGCAGGTTTTATGCAACTGAGCCCATGATCTTTGGCCTCATCTCGGAAACCGGACTGAAATTTCTCATATGAACCCAAGGTGAAATTGGTCCCTGCAATCGAGCCAGCCCGGTCAACCGGGCTCGTGTGAAGAGGCCCTTTAAGGCAATAATATGAATCACTTTTTGCTGTATACACAAATGGACATGGCATTAATTGCGATAGTATGATTCTCATTTAGAGTGATTAAAATACTAGAAAAAATAAACATTTATTGTTGAAAATTAAAAAGGTATTCAGCACAAGTTTTTAGAGATCCAGCAATGACTATACACTGTTAACTAAAATCCTTTTTTATTTATAAAAATATCTTTAATCACGGAAAGTCTCTTTCGTTTGAGTTTTCTATGGTAACAAGCCACAAAATCGGACGAAATTTTCAGAATGCATTGTTAAGAATGTGGGCAGTGGTCATCAAACAACAGAAACATTGGTTGCTTGAGTTTTCAGCTGGTAAATGAACAATATTATTCTAGTAAGTTATTAAAAAAAGCTCATTTAAAAAAAATTAGGAGCATTGCCTATAGATAATCAGTTAATAATTTGATGATAAGTTCTAAGCAAAACAGTATTCTGCGAAGACTGTTCAAACAGTGCTATATGAAACACCAGAACAGCATCAGCAATTCAGCAAGTGTTGTGCAAACTAATAAAAAAATAATAAATAGAACATTACATGGCCACTGGGAGATATGAAATTTCTCTTCTCACATTAAAAAAAGTATTTCATACTTTCATTGAATAACTTGTGAAACATTTTTCATCAGTCAAAGAGAAAATTCTTATCTCTGCAGGGCTAAGTAACATTCTCGACTATTTATGTACATTTAACTTTGTTTCATCTAATTTGAACACAACAAAACTTGTTTAAACTGTTTGGTTCTTCAAGACACTCTAACTTTAAAATAACTATGCATCTCTGTTCACAATCATCTAAACATTAACTTTGGTTGAACAAATCAATTTGCAGGCGTTGTTTTATTAGGCCTTTTGTACTAACCAGAAATCAGAACATTTCTAACCCACATCTACAAATGCTGTATTTCCTTGAATAAAAGCTGGGGTGATTATTATTTTTTTCGCACAAAAAGAGGGAGATTATTCGAGGGAAAGCTTATTCGAGGGAGTCGATTATTTCAAATTTTGCTCCCTGGAAGTTGTGCCCTAAATATTTTGTTTTACTATCCCATTAAAACAAAAAAATGATCACACATGGGCTTTTTAAGTGTTCCAAATTTGGTTCCTTGATTAATTTCCAATGTCAATAACCTCAGCATCAGAGCCTGAATTGTCATTGATCAGTTTTGTTGCATCAGACTCCATTTCAACTCGACAGGTAGGGGATAAAAGAAAGAGAAGAAGGTAAGAGGAGTGGGGATTATCAGCCGAAGCCCAACCCCTTTCCTCGACCTTAATTACTCTGGATATCACAAAAACCTCATCCAATAATTGTTTAATATTTCCATCTAAAGGAGGCAATAAATTTATTATTCAAGGGAGGCTAGAATGCATTGCTAAGAATGTTGGCAGTGGCCATCAAACAACAGAAACATTGGTCGCTTGAGTTTTCTGCTGGTAAATGAACAATATTATTCCAGTAAGTTATTAAAAAAAGCTCATTGAAAAAAATTAGGGGCATTGCTTATAGATAATCACTTAATAATTTGATGATAAGTTCTAAGCAAAACAGTGTTCTGGGAAGACTGTTCAAACCACAGGTAACCCAGGCTGAGATAGTACCACAGTACCAATCCAGTAAAATTACAGTGTTTGTATGGGATAAAAATACGATCCTAAAATTTCTAGGAAATACTACATAAAGAGCAATGAAACTTACTCTGCAGTTAGTTGTTATTGTCCATAATGCTCCAACGAAGTTTCATGATAATTTGTTCAAATTCACTCACACTGGAGTATTAACGACAACAACAACTGTGGTACTATCACAGAGCCTGGGTTACCTGTGTTCAAACAGTGCTCTATAAAACAACGGCCCAGTATCAGCAATTCAGCAAGTGTTGTGCAAACATTATATAATAAAATAATAATAAATAAAACATTACATCGCCACTGGGAGATATAAAATTTCTCTTCTCACCATAAAAAAAATATTTCACTCATTCAACAACTTGAGAAATATTTTTCATCAGTCAAAGAGAAAATTCTTATCTCTGCAGGGCTAAGTAACATTCTCGACTATTTATGTACATTTAACTTTTTTTCATCTAATTTGAACAAAAGTTGTTTAAACTGTTTGGTTCTTCAAGACACTCTAACTTTAAAATAACTATGCATCTCTGTTCACAATCTAAACATTAACTTTGGTTGAACAAATCAATTTGCAGGCGTTGTTTGATTAGGCCTTTTGCACTAACCAGAAATCAGAACATTTCTAACCCACATCTACAAATGCTGTATTTCCTTGAATAAAAGCTGGGGTGATTATTATTTTTTTCGCACAAAAAGAGGGAGATTATTCGAGGGAAAGCTTCGCGGGAGTCGATTATTTCAAATTTTGCTCCCTGGAGGTTGTGCCCTAAATATTTTGTTTTACTATCCCATTAAAACAAAAAAATGATCACATATGGGCTTTTTAAGTGTTCCAAATTTGGTTCCTTGATTAATTTCCAATGTCAATAACCTCAGCATCAGAGCCTGAATTGTCACTGATCAGTTTTGTTGTATCAGACTCCATTTCAACTCGACAGGTAGGGGATAAAAGAAAGAGAAGAAGGTAAGAGGGGTGGGGGTTATCGGCCGAAGCCCAACCCCTACCTCGACCTTAATTACTCTGGATTTCACAAAAACCTCATCCAATAATTGTTCAATATTTCCATCTAAAGGAGGCAATAAATTTATTATTCAAGGGAGGCAATTACTTGAGGAACAGCTATAATTCAAGGAAATACAGTACATTCTATAACGATTTCCCATGACATACATATGGTAAGCCGGAGCTCACAGCATTGGCATAGTAAATAGCAAGGTAGATTGACATAGTAAATAGCATTAGTAAATAGAAAAGAAGATTATACTTATCTATCATAATAATAATTACAATCTAGTTTTCTGTTTACTAATGCTATTTACCATGTCAGTCTACTTTGCTATTATAATGACTTTTTATAATGGCTTAAAAAAGAAGCTAGAAAATTGACCATAATGAACATCTGTTTCATTCGCATTCTCCCTGTTCGTTGATTTATAGGCTTTAAAAGTGAAAGTCACACCATGGCTTTGAATGATGTTGACACCATCATACCCATAGCAAGTTTCTGGGCCATCCGTTAAACTTTTAACAACATAGTCCGCATTCTTCCTCAAAATAACTGGATCAAAAACAACATCATAGCCACTGATTTCCTCTTCTCTGTATGGCAACAGGACAGATGAAAAAGACATATCTTTCAAAGACAACATTTTTGTACCATTTTTCTTGTCTATGATTTTCAAAGAAAAAAGATAGTCCTTGTTATTTAAACAACCAAAAAAACGAATCCCATGAAGCATGATATCCTTGTCTACCTCTAGAACAATGGCATCAAGAGTGAGGGAATCAGAATCTCCATCATAAGACCAGTGTACTGGTTCACAAATGCAGGACGAAAATCTTGCAAATCTGCTACAAGACCACCTGAAACCTACTCGCTGATCTTCAGGAAAACCTACAGATGTCGACAATGTACCATTAAAATTCCTCATCAATTCTCTTACTTCTGTCTTGGTAAGGATATTTGAGTCAATTACGGTGCTTGTAAAATCTTTCTCCTCCATTACTGGAAAATGTATGTTTTTCACTATTTGCTCTCCAAGGATTCTTCGCTTAACCTTGCCACTTACGAGAACTCCTTGCCTTTTACATTCTTCTGTAGCCCACAAATCAACAGTTCTAAAGAGCTCTACCTCTGGGATTGTCAATGTGGCTCTCTTGACCATGGCTTCGAGTAACGACTTGTCAATTTTCACAAATTCCTCTGACTTTACAACTTCTTCAGTTTCGCCTTCAATCATTTCCCAGCAGCGATCCACAAGATTCTGCTCGTCATACTTTTGAGCATCAGACAGAACACAGAGTACGTTTGCAACATCTAAATTCCTCATCAGAAACACGACGCATTTTTGGGCAAGAGAGGGCAGGATATATTTCTTCGCGACATACAACACTTGAAGAACATTGCTTGCGCGCAACTGCACCTCGCTGATGTACATGTATCGCAACATTTCCAACATTCCCTCGTATTCACAGTCTGGTAGATCAATGGTGTTCGATTTCTCGGCCATTTCTCCACAGAACATGGCGTAAAAAACAGGACTGTAGATTGACAACACAAACTTGTGTGCTGGAATCACCATCTTGGATCTTTTCGCATCGTTTTCGCCGCATGACGATCGTATGACGAAGCTGACATCGCTTAACACATCGTTATTGAATAAAACGGTTATCTTCTCCCTTACGTGTGATTTTTCATCACCCAGCTGCCCAAAAACAGCCATTGAAACACTAAAAGGCACGCAAAAAAGGAAGATTGACTAAGGAAATGGAACAGTCACGAAATGGCGGGAATCGGCGGGAAGGTGTTATATTTACGAATATACGGTACAGTTTTTCAGCGGGCTTTCCACCGGCTGAGGATACCTTTATATACGTTCCATCAAAAAGCTACTTGGGCAGCACCGCCCCGTCTTTGGAGACTCTGGGGCAGATAGTAAGGGCGAGAGAACCAGAGTCTAAACGAAAGGAAAAAATAATTCTTCGCACCAATTCCCCGCCCCCCCCGTTTAGAATTTCTCTTGCCCCTACTATCTGCCCCTGGGTCTCTGAGGATGGCACCGCCCAGACTCTGTGTCGAGTTACAACTCCACAAAATCTGAAACTCACTTATCTTAAACGGCTTCCAAATAGCCCCAAAGAGAATATACTCTGCTAGTTCGGGGAAGTGCAGCGGACACCAAAATAGTCGTGGCTAGTGGCTTTGCAGCTAGGTAAATATCCACCCACCACTAGCCACCTTTACTTCAGTGAATAATTGTTATATATAATTTAGTAGAGGAACAAATTAACATGGTTTTCATATGATTGAAAAGAAGTGCCAACCTGCCCCACCTGTGCCAGGAGATGACTAAGATAGGTGCTATATCTTATTGTCTTATAAAGTTTAATGTCACCCGTGCCAGGGGATGACTAAGATGGGTGCTATATCTTATTGTCTTATAAAGTTTAATGTTGCTCACAGATCTGCCCGGTGAAAACAGCCATTTCTCCTTGCTCCTCCATGCAGCTTGGGACGTTTTGCTAGGAGAAACGTCTGTGCCTCAGCGACAGAAATCCCATACTGATAACATAAAATCTGTCTGGAATCTGTTCAGGACCTCTGATTGGTTGATGTAGTAGTTATATTTGTTTTAGCTATTGTTTACGAATGACGGACAAAAGGCAAAAGACAACAAAGGTCAAATGTAAATGCAATGAACCTGAAACAAAACAGCCAATATTTGTGGAATATATCCTTTTATAGCTAAAAAAGTATAAGACAAGATGCAAAAATATTTAGATACTGTGATCTAAAATATATATTTTCATATTATCACTCAAGGCTTAATAGAAAAAAAAGGCTCTTTTTGATTTTTCTATAGGAAAAAGCCTCAGAATTTTTGGAGTTGTGTGTAACCATCCCCCAATAACTTGAAAAGATTTTTACACAAAAGCAGTGTTGTATACAAAAACCAATAAAATACCAGGTCAGCTTTAGCTCAAAAACATTATATCGTTACACACAAAAAGATCACTGTGGGATGGTTACATCATACAATTGCACCTTTCAAAAATATTGATGGTTTGGTATTTCTTTGGTGCTTATGTAATAAATAGAACATTACAAGGCCACTGGGAGATATAAAATTTCTCTTCTCACAAGAAAAAAAAAGATATTTCACTCATTCAGCAACTTGTGAAATATTTTTCATCAGTCAAAGAGAAAATTCTTATCTCTGCAGGGCCTTATTTATTTATATTTAACTTTGTTTCATCTAATTTGAACACAACAAAAGTTTTTTAAACTCTTTGGTTCTTCAAGAAGCTCTAACTTTAAAATAATAATAATAATAATAATAATAATAATAATAATAATAATAATAATAGTCTTTATTGCCAAAAGATAAAAGTACATATCTTTTGTTACATTCTAGTTGCCTATACACTCGATAAAAATCTACCCTAAAAATTAAACTAGTTAAACTACAAATGGATGATAAAATACAATGTAGAAACTACCTTATCTTGAGTTTAAAAATCAGTCTATTTACATAAGATGTCATAAATCGATCGGTATTATCCTCGGGGAGGGCACATTGTTTTTTATGTATATTATATTATTTTATTCTCCTTTGTTGGTGGTAAATACAAGCCTAGCAGATGGTTATCCACAGAGGTAACAGCCTTTAAAATCTTGCAGTCCTGTCTATATAAAAGATCCTTAATAGAAACTGGAAAAGAAACAAAGCGGTGCTTGTGGCAGCGATCCAAAAAAAGTTGTATAATATTCAGATCTGACTCAGACGAACCATACACAGAAATGGTAATATGTAAAATTTGGTAGAACTAAGGACTTAAATAAATGATCTACCGGTATCTGTACTTGAGAGTATTGCTCCCTTCTAAGAGACCTTAAAACATGCAAACGTCTTTGGTTCGACTAATTTCAGTCTTACATGTTCACTGAACTTGCAGTTACTTTGAAGGATAACACCTATTAACGACAGACTATTATACTGTGGAATATTGCAAATTTGCTCATAATGTGTGTTACTGGGTGGGTGGCAGACATTCCTCAACATGCAGCTTTCCTCGAATACGTATGATATACGACTTTCTTAAAGGACTGGCAATCACCGGTGTGACATTTATCTCCCTGTAGTCTGACTCTGCAATAGGAAAGTCAACCTTGGGCAGGGGGTTAATATTCGCCCTCTCTTCCAGAAACCGGGCATGAGTGAGTTCATGACGATAAATTCCACACTTGAGTGATTACTGGAGTGAGAAGTTCCACGTGATCTTTCCAAATTCAGAAGGGTATGTTATCTGGGCCTGTAGCTGTTCTTTTCAACTTAGTAAGAACATTCCAGACCTGCCTTTGTGTTATCTCTGGAACTTCTACATGCCCCTTGATAAGCACATCAGTAGGTCCCAGATAACTGTCATCATGGCACAGGCACCCAAAATAGTTATTCACTCAGATGGTCCAGGGGGCATGGTCGAAATTAACGCAGGATGTTCTTGCATGACGCTGTGAGACTAGGTCGACGTTCTTCCACCATACTCAACTACCCATAACACTCGCTGGATTTCTTCTGTTTTCACTGATAACTTGTGAAATTATACTGTTCCCGAGTTTTAGTGGCTCTCTATTATTGAGCCATACTCTCGTTTTTGCCCTAAGCGTGGACCGCACTAGAGGGGACATCCAACTAGGATCACCAGATGACATACGGATAGACCTGAGTGGCACACACTTATCCATTAAAGAGCATATTGTCCTCCATAATTCTAACTGCAACGTCAACATTGTCCGATGTGACAACCTCTTGCCAGTCTTGTGCAGCTGAAGCCAGATAGAATGATTGTTTGTGATGTTCTCTACAATCAGTCTCAGGTACTTTGCAGCGGGTGACTTTGAGTTTTGTTCCTGCAGGCAAGACAAATCCCTTGTGATCGGTCTTTATGATGGAGTCAGGACATCAAGGAAGATATCTAGATCTGGGATGCTATCAGTTTCATTTCTCTTTCTATGTATAAGCAGAACAAAAGATTCCGTCAGCTGTTCTCACAGGAGATAGTTTTAGTTTCTGTAGCCTTAAATCTATTGCTTCAAAGAGACAGCCGAGACCCAAGATTCAGCAAAAAAATCTTTTCAATGCATGGTCGCATCATACGATTTGGTCCTCATAGTCTCTCAGTAAAAATGTTATAACAACATATCTGCACGTACACGTCATCATCATCTTCCCTGTGCACGACAGTGACTACTTTGATTCATTGCTAAATTATCATGAACACGGATCAAGAATAAAGAAGTCCGTTATTTATTTTTCATTAGATATCTCCCTCAGAAATTTTCCCTAAAACTTCCAGTCCTCTCATGTCGGGTAGAGTTCTTTTTCCGAGCCTGATCGACTGAGCTAGTTGCAACTAACGTGTTACTTACAGAGTGATTTTTTTAAAGTTTTATGTCTTAAACGAGTTCTCAGAGCCTTTCATCACTTTTATTAAATAGGGTAGACCAAGAGAGGATAAAGGGGACAGAGAAGGCATCCCCCATACACACCCTATTCCATAGGTAATTCGTCTCGAGTTATTTTCAAGACCATAGATCCCAAAGGGGATTAGACAACAGCCAATCACATAGCGCGAATGTGTTCCGCGTAGATGACCCCAGCTCAGAGCCACTCGTCCTTCACAAATTGACGCAGAAAAAAATGGCGGAAGACGCGGAGAGCGATATTGCTATTTGCTTTGTCGACAAAAACGACTAAAGGGAGAGATTTCTGCTAAAGCTGTGTCAGCGAAACGGAAATTGAAAAAGAATCGCCCTTCCTCTCTTGTATAGAGCTAACAGTACAGCAGGGAAATCCTTAACACACTGAATATTCTCTCAGGATCATTTATAATTTACACTTTGAAGAGAGCAATTTCTGGTTTGATATTTATTCCTTTATTAGTCTTTTATAATTCAACAAAAATAACACTTGGCGTCCCACTTGCTTTATTGTACAAACGAACGGTTTCAATAGACTGGCGAAATTTCTCATTTTATTAAAGCGCTGAGGTTACGACAACTTCGAGTTAAACTGATTTCACGGGTTGTCAAAGAGTCCAGCGATTTCTTTTTCCCAGGTGAGCGCCGACTCATTTCGCTTCAATATTCATAAATGCTCTCGATCTCTTTACGCTTTCATTGCCTTTCGCTGGACATGTTTTGCACGGCGTTTAGTCATGCGAAACCTCCAAGAAACATCCACGCAGCGCGCAAAGTAGCTTTATCCCGATTCTAAGAATAACTCGAGACGAATTAGCTATGGAATAGGTGATACCTTGTTTTGGATTGGATGATTCTGACTAATCCTGACAGAGTTACTCTCACAAAAAAGTAACATTTTGGCGGAAAAATCCATTACCAATTTCGCTGTTTACATACTACTCGTTGAATATTAAATTTGTCCCTTTCCTAAAACGTTAGCCACGCACAATTCCATGCAAAAGAAAGACGATAAAGTGGGCAACCAAACCGCCAATAAAGAAGGGGAAAAAAAACGACACCGAAAAAATTTTGGCTTTTGCGCATGCATGCAAAACAAAAAAGCTGTTTAATTACGCCAGGTTAGTCGGAAAATATGCCTTTTTTCTTGCAAAACACGTTTTCAGCCATTCTTATGCTAATTAGTGGAAAACTAATGCAAAGGTTGGAGCAAAGACGAGGAATTAGTGAAAAATGATATTT